GAAGACCAGAAGGGAGAATTTGTATGTAGAAATCAAGGGTTAATGATCATTCCCACCCCTGCATCTGGAGCACATGATCAGAGGAACATGTTAGCAATGACGGCAAGTCTAGGGTATGCTTTTCTTGATGGCAGATATTACAAGATAAACATCCAAAATCTCTTGTCTAGTGTGGTGAGACATGCATGAAGAACAGTACAGAGAACTTGTATTTGACATCACTTATGATGTAAAAGGTGTACAATGTGAATGATAGTATGGAATGTAAAGAAGGACGTGAAGAATCTGTGTGACGACAGTGGCAAAATAATATTGCAGCTATGAAAAGAACATGATAAAAGATTGGAGTAACTAGAGCTCTGGCAAGCTAACTGTGATGAACAATTATTTTTGAAACATTGATTTGTTGCAGATTAAAACTACAAAAGGATTACAAGGTAACTTTACAATTTTTAAAAGTCATTTTTATTTAGTGATAAATTATAAGTATCAACTAAGGTTACTGCATTCAAATAAGTTTAAATTATTTTAATTTGTACACTTTCACTAGACATGCTGGGACAATGTGTCACACACCTACTCGTATCGCTCTAGAAGTCACACAATTTATTAGCAGTGTATAAGCATTCTGTTAAATTACACACTGTCACAGTAAACAATGAATTTCACATTTCTTATAAATATTAAATCTTACTCCAACTACCTTTTGAGTATGACATAAACGATACACATACTTTGTGACAAGGTAAACTGTTAGAGGTAAGCTCAGTCAATGCTGTTACATCTGGGAAAATATTTTACTGTGAGAAAATGGCCTTGAGTCTTCACATTAATTCATATAATTTATTAGCAGTTAGAAAACAGCCCTAAGAAAATAGGTGTGCTGACTGGTTAAAAATCGTGTTTCTATAATTCGATAGAAACACAGAACTGGCACAAGCTGTTGATGTAATGTTGGTGTGAGCAAAGAGAATTTACATTTTGATAATCAAAGTTAACAAGTTGTTTTCCTTTTTTCTGTTGCGGTGTTTTCTAAAAGAAATAGAAAACATGTTCTCCATGTTTCTATCGAGTTATAGAACACTTGTGAAAGTTTGGGAGAACTCGAAAAAGCTGTCAGTGGAAACACTCGCCTATGGCTCATGTTCTCACAGCATTTCTCATTCTCCCAAACTTCCACTCGTGTTTCTACAACTGGATAAAAACACGGTATATGTTTTCTATTTCTTAATTGTTATTCTATGAATTTTTCAACTGATGATTTCAAAAGCACTTTTGTTTGTTTTGAAGTTTCAGCACTTAAGACCAAATGAGGGGATAGCTGGCTGAAGATCTATGAACCAAAAAGAGTCAGAGAAGCCCAGATTGGTTATGCTTATGATTGTGCATTGGCACACAAATTAAGATACATGTATGCATAAACAATTAGCTTGAATGTCCTTAAATGCTTTCAAGCCTGCTATTGACCAGCTCTCCCCTGGTAGTGTCTTAGTGCTGCTACGGCTGCCCAAGGGTCAAAACTCCTCTTGAAGTAAGTTTCAAGAGGAGCCGTGAGTTCCAGCTCACGATGGTGGTGTGAAGGTGGCTCCTAGCAATACAGTTGATCCTGACACCACAAATGTATATTAGAAACTAACCATGTTGCTACTGACAATGACAATGGAGTTTAAACAGCAAAACACTGCCAAACAATTCCCCCAATCCCACCTAACTAAGCTATAATAACAGAGGTATGATATAAGCATAAAGGAAAGATTTGCATACCTCCTGAAGGAGATCTTGAGCTGAAATTGCCTTCAGAACATTTTTCTTGCTTGTTTCTTGAATCTCTCCACCAAGTATCAGCTCATCCAGCATAAAATATGCCTTCTCAAAGTTGAAAATGATGTCTAACTCACATACCTTTCAGGAAGTAAAATGTAAAATTAAATCAAAAAATGCAAATGAAAATGCAGTCGAACCTGCATTAAGCGGCACCATATTAAGCAGTCACCCTTATTATGCGGTCAGTTTTCAAAGTCCAGAAAATTGCTTCCCTTAGTTACCATAATTTTGACCTCTATTAAGCGGTCACCTCTATCAATTG